TTGAATACTTATAAAGGCCTTATTAATCCACTGGAAAATTTCATTAAAAACTATATTATACATGAATAATTTTATTTGCCAGGTATAGAAACTTTGCATGTTTACTATATCTGAAATTTGTTTTGAAAAATATGATACCATTTGGTCATTGCTTTACACTTACTTTCCAAGTGAAACACAGAGAGTTGTTTGTCATAAGCACATTACGTGAATGGCACAGCTGCAAGTGGACATGGCTAAATGGCCACGTGGAACTTCTTCTCTTAGTGAGGCAGCTAGCTTGAATCGACCCTCCAAAACACATCTAGTTTCTCATGACAGATTCAATTTCTCCAGAATGTTGCTTGTATATATGAGGGCCCTGCCCCACTTTTCTGAACATTTTGTGTCTTACAAGGTTGTGACACTATGCCAGATTATTTTTATCTTGCTATCATGGAACAAAACTCACCAAAAGCCTGAAGCCAGTGTTACACACTGTTACATGATTGTTCAGGGGCAGAATGATACTCAGTTTCATTAAGGGACAGACTTTCAATGTCAAAAAGACCAAAGGGCTTGTTAAAATCAGACTTATCCTAGCAGTCCAAGAAAGATGTGGCCAGTATTCTACCAACATCTGGGAAGAGAAGTCTAATTATTTGTTGCTGGCATGGCTTCAAAGACTGATCTAATTCTAGACAAGATTACTCAGATCAACAGTTTGTATTCAAAGGCTAGCTCTTAGGTTTCTCTTTTTAAACTTCAGTGATGGGAACATGGAAGTCATATTTTGAGGAGAGAAGATATTTGCATTTTAGGGGCTATATGAATGATCAAGAAGGGAAAACCTTACATTCTAAGGCTTAGAACATGACCATTTATACCTGAGTTTATATGGGTTGTGTTTTTAAATACAGATATATCTAAAAACTAGATCAACAATGAAGACACTTATACAAAGAAATAATAACTCTGACAACTTTACCCAAATATATGCCTTAGTTCTGTAAGTTCTTTTTCTTTGATCTGCAGGTCATCTTCTAATCTTTCTATCACAGTAACATAAGATTCACTGACTTTCTTCTTCCATTCATCTAGCAAAGAGAAACAAATAGGATTGATTCATAGCTGAGCTTTGTAAAATGTAGACACAGATCATAACATACACGTAATTAAAATGCTGTTTTTTACTCTGAATTTTACAGCACTTTATTTAAATTACTGATTGTGAGTTTAAAATGCAGATGTTTATATTTAAAATGCAATCATATTGAATTGTAGTAATTAAAAACCCATTTGATATTGGATAATATATTTACATGGAAGAATATATTTGACTTATTTCATTTGATTTTACTGCATTATAATTATAGCAATCTCCGGTTGTAGATAAGAGTTTTTAGATTTTAAATACTAGATACTTAAGACGTAATCTTAAAATCCCTATATTCCGCAGCATTCCAAAATTTTTTCTATAACATTATACCTAGGAACTAATATACTATTATAAGAAATTTTCTGTTTTTTCTAAAGATCTTTCAGAGAAAAATAATTTGAGATAATCTTCCCAACACTTTCGTATATGTTGTCTTATCCTCTATGTAAAAATTAAGATATTCTAATGACATGTTAATTATCTATAACTACTACTGAACTATATTATATTTAAAGTTATAAAAATAATTACCAGTGCAAGTTTGAGTTGGTCTAGATTTATAATTTCCCATTTGTTAGAAGTTTCTTCTTTTCCCCAGTGCAATTCCTCGGGTTACAAGATTCCAAGTTCAAGTGCAGTGACAATCCAGTTGAAAAATACTTTGATAGTCTGGCTAAAAATAAGCTGACTGCCAAATGGAATGTCATGCAACAATGACAAGGAACAAAATAGTTTGTGCTTTCAAGGGTGAAATCATAATGGGAACTAATCAGTCTGTTTAAAAGAGCAGTATCAAAAATAAATAGTAAATGTTTCCATAGGATTGTTTGACTCCATCAATTGATTATCTACTCTTACATACTTTCACGGGACATTTCTTTAATCGGTAAACCGAAAAGGTGATTCAGTTACATCGGAGGTTCACAAAGAGCTAGGAAAACCACCTAGATCTTCTTTCAGGATTATTTTCTCCCGAGCCAAAGTAATGGCTGTTGGAAAAGAGTGACCAGTGACAGAATCTGTCTCTATAGTATGTAAATAATGGAAACCCACATCCTATGGCATGCTATGAATGAATGTAAATTTGGCATATATTAGAGCTATAAAATTATGTCTGTAAGAAGGAATTCTCAAAATGGACCATAATTAATTTATACTACTTGTTGAACATACTGACCATAAGAATCATTGATCAGAATTTAAGACTCAGAGTTCTACAAATAGCAATTCATAAAATAACACTGACAAGAACAATAAGATTACAAACAATAAGATGAATGCTTACAGTGTGCCAGACACTAGACTAAGTGCTTTATATGCATTTTGTTATTTTTACCTCATACTATCCTGCAAGGAATATATTGTTCCCATATTATGGATGAGAAAATCCAGATTTGCTAGTATGTGGAGGAATCTGGAATTAGTTTTGAGTCTATATGATTTTAAAGTCCAAGTTATAAATTATTACTGATAAATCTCCCATAATTTCTCTTTCATTCACCATCCATTTACTTCACAGGGTCATTTCTCTTTGTATATGTGTATTTCTAGTGATATAAATAAACTCAGAATATGATGGAGAATAAATGGAAAACTCCCAAAGAAAAGTTATCTTGATATTTAACTATATAGTTCTTCTGGATAATGTAATTATACCTAGAATATATACATTTCAATCTTGAGATGCAACTCCAGAGGTATAGTTTTAATGTAATGGTAGGTATAGATTTCACATTCATATATAGTTGAATGTTCAAAGAACTGTTTCTTTTTTAAGCAAATGCTTCAACAAATTTAGTGTTCCCCCAACTTTTTCTCAGCAAAGTTAATACAAGTTCCAGAGGGAGGGTCCCCATACTGATCAGACATAGTCAGAGAAGTAGGTACCTGACTTGGTGGACATCTCTGTCCTCCCCTGGAATTAACTCTCCTTACCACTCCACAGTATATGCTGCCATGGCCCTTGATGTCTGCTACATTGTGGGGGCCTCTAGTTACTTGACCCATGAACTCTACATTTTCCTTGTTTGAAGGTCAGATATCTTCTACCACACCAGCTTTCTCTTGGCACTTGTATGATCCCTGTCCCTTAAGATGGAAAGTCTTTGCTTTCCCCAGACATGCTGCCTTCAGGCCCATCGGCCAAGGCACTTGACTTCCTCAGTGCTTGGTACTGAAGACCAAGTAGTCGGTACAGTCCTGAAGATCATACTGGATAGTCTTTTTTAAGAGGCTTGCAGTCCCTCAGGGGTATATCTTGGGAGGTAAGGCATAAGCTCTCCCTTCTCTCAGACATCCCTAAAATTCATGGTTTTTACACCTTGAATCCGGAGGGACAGGGATGGGAGTCAGGGGTCTATTCCTTCTTGAGGACATCTAAATCTGCCTATTTTCCCTAATCTTCTTTCTTTTTTCTCTCTACTATTTCAGATCCTGCACCAGTGTGTGTGTGTGCGCGCGCACGCGCGTGTGGGTGTGTGTCTGTGTATTGCCCCCTATCGATGAAGGAATAGCTAGTTCTTATATCATCTTGCACTGTCTTTCCAATTTCCTCTTTGATATGTAAGTTTAATGTACGGATTTTTAAGATTTTCCTTTTAATTTTCAAAAATCTTTTTATCCTCTCAGAAAGGCTGGCTCTTACAAATGAAGGCTTTGACTTTAAAGCTATAATTTCTACTATGAGTTTGAAAATCCAAACAGTAACTCAGTTGACCCCAAGGGAATATATTTTGCTAAAAAAGGTAGATAATGATATACAAATGTGGAAAATGATTATCTCAATATCTAAAATATTAAATGTCATTGCATTTCCTAATTGCAAAGGAACACTATCTATAAGCCCTTTTTATGAATGTGGGTCTAGGTCATGGGTTGAGGGCAAGTAATCCTCCTGGGTGCCTCCTGGGTGAGGAAAAAGCTGGGGTAAGCAAACAATCCAGGGTAACAATCTTGCTTTTCTTTCCTAAAGAGTGCTGGAGGGAATCCATGTGGAAGCAGGAAATATTCCCCCCCTCAACTCTGCACATTTCTGTAAAAATTACTTCTCTCTACCTTGAGTTGTTCACATGCTCTAAGTTGAATCATACTCTTCCCAGTTCTGAGATTTCCAGAAGCGTAGAAAGCATGTTATCTCATATGTTATCAAAAATACAACCTAATTACAAAAGTGCTTACCTTCAGAAAGTTTAGTGAGAGTAGATGTTACCTGAGGAGCCTTGCGAAAGAAAGTAGAAACCAGGGCACCATACCCAGAAATTCTGATTCAGTAGCTCAGGATTAGGGCCTAGGAATCTGAATTTTAACAGGCACCTTTAATAATTCTAATGTAAATGCTACATGAAACATACGAGGAGCACTATTTTAAGATGGCTTAAAGTAAGATGCCTACTTACCAGAAGGTTTTTGATCCTTTTAATTCCATGTAACAGAAGAGAGAAGAGAAAACTGAAATAAAGAGAAAAAGATGGTTTCAGATTCTCAAAGGGTTCTATCCTATGGTAATCACTGGGGCAATAAAAGACTGGGCAGTGCGTGCATAGTCTCATTTTGTAAACGTTAATCACAGAAGTGGAAGCAACCAAGCTGTCTTTTCACAGGTGAATGGATAAAAAACAAATGTGCATGTACATTCAAAAAATGGAGATTTATTCAGCAATAAACTAAAGGAGCTACCAAGCCAAGAAAAGTCATGGAAGAAACTTAAATGAATATTGCTAAGTGGAAGAGCCAGTCAGATAAGGCTACATACTATACGATTCCAACTACACATTTTGGGAAAGGGAAAACTATGGAGACAGTAAAAAGATGAGTGGTTGCCAGGGGTAGCTGGGAGAAGGTGGGGGATAAATAGGTGGAGCACAGGGAATCTTTAGGATAGTGAAATTATTCTGTATGTACTGTACTGGTTCAGAAAACCCCACAGAACGTTAAAACATTAATGTAAACTATGAACTTTAGTTAATAATAATGTATTGGCTCATCAGTGGTAACAAATGTACCAAATCATGGTAAGATGTTGATAGGAGAAACTGCAGGCAGTGGGAGGAGTTATTGGAAACTCTTTGTACTTTCTGCTTAGGTTTCCTGTAAATCTAAAACTGTTTTAACAAAAAGGTCTATTAATTTTTTAAAATTAAAAAAAGAAAAATAATAAATAAATAATACCAAGAATAGTAATTCCTTAATAAGACCACTTGTGCTTTTCAAGGAATATTTGTAACTTATAAGGAGAAGCCTTCTGTAAGGAATACATAACTAATAGTAAACATTTTTTCTTTTATACTTGCTTTTGTATTTTTTTTTCATTCAAAATGTCAGGGTAGATTTAGTAATTGCCTTATTTCTTCAACTGTTCCTTTTCAACCAGCCTTTGTGTTCTATTGAATGGCCTAAATCTAATGTTAATCCCTTCCTCTCTTCGACTGATTTATCAGACCACTTCAGCACATACATAGGTATGTTCTATACTCCCTTCAATAAGCCTGTTTATATTCTTTTTGACTTTCTTTATTTTCAGTTTATATGATTTATTTATCCCAATCTACACTTGTGCATCTGCTATTTATATTTTATATTAGTCTCTTAATAAATATTTAAAAGGATGCTTTCAAGATGAAAATTACAGGGGAGGGTATAGCTCAGTGGTAGAGTACATGCCTAGCATACACAAGGTCCTGGGTTCAATCCCCACTATCTCCATTTAAATAAATAAATAAAAACTTAAAAAAAAGATGAAAAATACAAATTTGACCTTGACACTTCTACTGTTATGATTCCAACAGAGAAATTATAAAGAACATGTATTCCATGAGATCAAACTGATACACCTAGAACAACTCTTATCACATGTAAGAGTGTGAATCCATTTATATTTAAGATCTAGACCACTCTTCCATTGTGTATGAGTTCTTATTAAGATGTGCCCAAGTTTAAGGGAAGTTTAAATTTTTGATGTGTTGCATCTGATTGACACGCAATTAAAAGAATCATTGCTTTAGATACAATAAGCCAGAATTACTAATTATTATATATTTAGTTTTTTCCTTCTTTTTAATAAACATTAAATTACTTATATTGAAAAAATGTCATCTAAAAGAAAAATTGAGCACTAAGATGTCTACACCTATTCAATTAAAAACTTTCTTTAATTTCTTTTTAAACAATATATTTTTGTATTTAGACAAGCATAATTTGTAAAAATCTTATTTGTCAAACAAGTTTCCTTTCTTTTCCACTAGAATGTCTAAATTTATACTATGTTGGATAAAACTATAAATCACCATTATGAATCTGAACATTGGTTGTAATATTCAGATTAATCTTCAAAAATGAATGGGACTCGAGAATATATAATAGTGAAAGTAAATGTGAAAAAAATCAACAGTAAAGTGATTTAAATAGGTTTTCTCAATATCTCTGTGAGAGTATATTAAAGAAAGAAAAAAATTGCTATTTTTGTTCCAAATACTACAACTGAAAATGCAAAGATCTTAATCTTTCCTGCATCTTCCTTTGTTACTGGGGGAACGTGTGGTAAAGTCTATTCATGAATATAAATTAAGCAGCAATGAGTAATATCTCTGTCATTGGCTAAAACTTTCCATCCCAAATTTATAGGGCTTCTTTCAGTTTTCAATTCAGCTCTTCACTGGCTGACTGATTCATTTATTCATTCAATAAG